CCCCTTGCGCGCTCCGCGCGCCAGAGGGAGACCCAGCGCCGACCCCAAGTCACCCCGCGGACCTCCGAGAGCTCATGCTCTCCTCCAAGGCGGTACAGTCAACCCGAATCACAAGGACGCGCGGCAAGGATGCAAAGGGTCTTGGAGGGCCACGTTGACGTTTGCTCGAGCGGGGCGCGGCCAGGGACAGTCGCTAAGGATACTCCGAAGGGGCAAGGATACGAGGGTGCCCTTGGGAAGGTTGCCCATCTCTACTAGGCGGGTTGGGTTCAAGGGCAAAGATGAAGGGGCCCCAGGACACACAAATGCATACACACAAATAAAAAGATTCCCATATTTTCCCATATGTTCAGGGGCTTTGTTTTCCCCCCCACTGCCCATAGTCTCCTTTTTTGTTCGGGGGAATCGACGATGAATTGTGTCTGTGCTCTCTTGCCTCCTGCAAAGGGCAGGACAGAGCAGGGCGCGCCAGCGCGTCCGCCGGGCGGCGGGGCCTACCTTACATAGAAGGCCGGCGCGCGGGCTCGAGCCGGAGCCGGCCGAGCGTGGACAGGCGTATGCTCCCGGCCGGTGTGGTGCTGTGCGCCATGCAGGAGGCAGAGAGCCCGCCCCCCTCGGCGGTGGACAAACCTCCCTTCCGTAAACCTCCCCTTAGCGGAGACGGCCGGGGGCCGGAACCGACAGACCTGGGCCCGCAAAAGTGGCGGCCGCGGCGCCTTCTCGCGAACCGAAAACGGCCATTTCGCTAATCGACGTGTCAGGGTAGGAGGTCTGTCCACCCCCGACCCCCAAAAATAATCACCAGAGCCGTTCAGGAAACGCCGATGGTCGGGTCCGGGTGGCTGCGGAAGCGCTCTTTCTGGGCCGTTCCACGCCGTTCTGTCTTGTGCTAGCGTGGGCCATGGTTGGCTGTCTCGTTCGGAAGACGTGGTTGTCTCGTTCGAAAAACCGCCACAAGACAGAGAGTCTGCGCCACGCCGCCCCCACCCGAGGCGCCGACGACATGTCCCAGGCGTGGCGCTCAACTTTCCCGAAGACGAAGCCAGGACAAGGACAACAGTGGGTGAGGACAAACAGAGGATCTCTGAGAGCCAGCGGCTCTGGATGATGTCTCTCTCGGGCACCGCGGCCCTCTCAGGGCGTTCCGGGACGCTCTGAGAGCGATCGGGGACACCCGACGCAAGAGATTGTAGGGCCGTTTTTAACACATAGGATTCTAAAATATTGGATTTTAATATATGACTCATTTAGGAATGATTTTATGCATGAACTCATCGTTGTTGTTGATTCCAACTCCCTGCATTTGTAATACGTGATCCGCACGCTGAGCATGATTTGAAAACGGCACTGTACGTTCCGCGGCCAATACGAATAGATTGTGGGGAAGCCTGGGGGCCGTGGCGCCCACGTGGGCCGGCGACCTGCGCGTGGCAGACAGCTGCTGCTGCCCCTGCAGCGAGGCCCGCACGGGGAATAGCACAGTCTGGCGTCAGTCGTTGGCCTTCTCGTGCTCCTGTGAGTGGCACGGGGCGCCAGGCCCGCGGGGTGCAGGTGCAGGACAGCTAGACGCACAAGATGTTCGAGGGATGGAGGGTGGTGCCAATGCGCAGAGTGAGGGAAATGTGGATGTGTCCACATCGGACTCTGCGCAGTTCCCGTGGATCGCGAGCTGGGGTTGCTCCCAACCCCGCTACCAACTAGACTTGCGGGGTGGTGGTGGAACCGAGAAGGTTGCCCTGACGGCAATCGCTGTGATAGCGAAGTTCTCTCCCTTCTGAGAGATGTGTTTGTACGCGCCGGCGCTGAGCCGAACAGCGACGGGGCATCCGACTCGGGTAAGGGGGAAGAGGGAGGAGGACAAGGAGGAGGAGGAGGAGGAGGAGGAGGAGGAAACGGAGGAGGAGGAGGAGGAGGAGGGGGGGGGGAGAGGAGGAGGAGGAGGAGGAGGAGAGAAGAGGGAGCAGCAGGAAACGGATGAGGAGGGCACGCAGCGCAGCCCCCGCCGCGGGGCGAGGCCTTTGGCCACGTCGGTGGCGCCGAAGTCCGCGGCACGCCGCGCGCCCACGAGCGCGAGCCCGCGCAGGAGGCCAGCGCCCGCGCACTTGAGCTTCGCTGGCGGGAAGGGGGGGGGGCGGTTGGAGGCTGGGGCGGTGGTGGTGGAGGTCACTCCTGCCTCGTCCTCACTCCTCAGCCTCCTCGTCCTCCTCGTCCTCCTCCTCCTCCTCCTCCCCCAGCTCTCTCCTCCTCCTCCTCCTCCTCCATTCCTTTTCCTTACAAGTAACTTCTCCCTGTCGCACCCCGACGTGAGATTTTAGGGCTGGCTGGGCGGCGATTCGCCTGAGACTTCCTCACCAGTTATGACTGGTAAAATGTAAAAAATTGGCAACAGATTCACTGATGGAGGGCGGGTGGTTTTCAAAATGTGGCTCTCGAAAAAGCGCGGCGCAAATTGTTTTAAAACATTACAAGGGTTTCACGGATTCAGGGCGGGTGGTTTTCA